CCGTGTGCTCTTGCTTCACCTGCCCTTTCCTTTTGTACCTGCCCAGGAACACAGCAGGGAAGGTGAGTAGCTGGTGGAAGGAGGTGGGGGCCCAGCACAGGCACTGCCAGCTCCACACTCAGCACTCGGGGCTGTCTGCTGGGATGAAGCAAGGCCCGAGACATTTCTAGGTCACCTCCACTGCCACCAGCTTTCCTGAGAGCACCCCAGCACCACTGAACTGCTCAGCTGCGGGTACCCCTACCCAGCCAGGGTGCACAGGGTGCTGGGTAACCCCGCTCTTCTTCCAGGAGCCCCAAAAGCACACAACTATCGGTGCTCAGAAGAGAGATCTGGGAGTCAGCGCTGGTGGTTCTGCAAATGTCATCTCCCTGACCCCTGCCCTCAGCTCAAGCCATCACCTGATAGCCGAGTTGGTGTTACGAACTTCTTCCTCATCATCATCATCGTAGTCATCCTCATCATCCGAGTACTGCTGGTGCTGTCGAACTGGGACCCGGCTGCGACCCACTCCTGCTGCAAGGTCTTCCTCCTCCTGCAAAACACCATTGCTGATGGCCTGCTGCCAGTGGGACAAGAAGGAAGAACCCAGCAGACACATCCTCAGTCCAGCCAAGCACCAGGGCTTGCCCCTTTCCAGAGGAGATGGGGGACTCGTCCCTATGCTCGCTCAGGTGACCCACATTAACACGAACCTTTCCTGCCAGGTCAGTCTTCCTCTACCCTCTGACCTCCCAGCCTGGGACAGCACAAGAGCAAGGAGCTGGGAGGCAGGGGAAGGGCCAAGACTGGTTGAAAGCCACAGTCCCACAGAGGTGAGGGACTCAGCTCCAGTCAGGTGTGCTGCTGGCCTGGAGCTCCAGCCTACCTGCATGGGGGACTTGGCGTAGTTGTGATTATCCAGGAAGGCTGGCAACCTCTGCACGATGGGGTTGGGGTTTGCTGGAGGTGCCCCGTTGATGCTGCTTGCAGATGTCTTTGTCACCGGTTTGGATTTGTTGGGTGGGCTCTGTGTAGCCACAGGGTGGCCCTGGCTGGTGGGCTCATCGGTGCCATCTGCCATACAAGCACAGCACAGCCTTTCATCACCAGCACCATCACTTTTTACTCAATGTTCTCTGCCACCCCTTGCCCACCCCATGTAGCAGAAGACCATCACATCCACTTCCCATCCCACCTCCAGCCATCACCAGTGTCCCCAAGCTTAAGCCCTCCCATTTTCAAGCTCCATGTCACTCCAACGCTTCTCCCAGGCACAGAGGCACCTATCACACCCCAGCACAGTGTGCACCGAGCTGGGCTTGGGGAAAAGAAAGTGAAGCTGACCATCAAACTGCCTGAAGCTCCAGGTCAGCCAGCCATTGTGACCAGCCTGGGCTCGCTCCATGGCACGCTGGGCTAGCTGGCAACACCGCTGGTGTGGGGTTCTACCTGGATGGGTGCTCTCTGGAGTCACGGTCTTGCTGCTGGCTAGCTTTGCCTCTTCGGAAGGCTGCGACTCCTGAGACTTCTGGGTCTGGATCAGCTCAGGCTGAGTGACTCGGATAAGCTTGAAGACAAATGACAGATCGAAACTGAGCGCTGGGCCCGGGTGACCCAAACCACATCCCTCCCATTTGAGCCCTGCAGAAGAACTCTTGAGGGTGAGCCAACCACCGAGCACCCATGTGCACAGCCAACTAGCAGTGCCACGGATGACCTCCCAGGTGAGCAGCAAGGCCAAGCAGTGAGGCTGGCTGTCTCCTCTTTCCAGAAGATATTTCCCAAGGCCAAAAAAACCCTAAAATTCAGGGCCCCCACAGCACAGGGAGATGCCCTGAAAATAGAGCCTATTCCACCCCAGGCTCACAGTCCCTCAGGGCCTGGGCTGTCCCACCTGCTGCAAGGCCTCCAGCACAGTCTGGCGGTTCATCTTCAGGATGTGCAGTTTGGACTCGTACTTCATCCTCCGATCAGGCACCACCGCCATCAGGTTGAAGCGGATGTCGTGGTACGGCTCCCTGCAGGGAGGGACAGCAGCTGTGAACTGGCTGGAGAGCCCATCTCCCAGCAAAGGGGGTCAGCAGGCTGCCAGCCATACCCTGCACACCTCCTGCGGGCTCCTTCCAGGCAGTGCATCCCCTGCCCTGGCATTTAACACCACCAGGCAGGAAGCTTTTCCCCCAAAACCAAGTCAACCTCACCCAGACTGAAGAAGCAGAGCCAGGTTGCTTCAGCCACAATACAAAACACCCTTCATAGAGTCAGAGGTGGGTTGAGGTGGGAAGGGACCTGTGGAGGTCATCTTCTCCAACCCCCTGCTCCAGAGCTGGTTGCCCAGGACCGTGTCCAGATGGCTTCTCGCTATCTCCAAAGATGGAGACTCCACAACTTCTCTGGGCAACCCGTGCCAGTGCTTGGTCACCCTCATGCCCAAGCATCCAGGAGGCCCAGCTCAGGACCAGAAGCACCATTCCTTCTCCTATGGACTCAGGCAAACAGGGACCTGATCTGGCTGCTCCTACCCTGCACAGCCATTTGCAGGGACCCGGCATCGCACAGAGAGCGCAGCCTCTCCGTGTGCTCCAGAGACGGGCAAGCTGCAGGCAAGAGAAGGCAAGGAGGCAGCACACCTGCACCTCTCCCCAGGTACATTCTCCACCCCCCACTTCCACAACTTCTCACACAGAGACCACAGTAGAAATAATCCAGAGAAAAACAGCAAGGGGCCAGTGTCTGCACCGTGGCCTGGGCCGTTACCCTGCGGTGGCCAGGCCGATGCGCTCCATGATCACCCTCCTGGCTTTGTCCGTCCATTCCTCGTCCTCAGCCCACGGCCCTGTGATAACGAGACAGAGCTGGACTTAGCACAGCAGGCCCAGGCTCCTGCTGCAGACTAACAGAGTGGATCCTGCCATCCCCACCAGAGGCAATCTCCTGGCTCCCTTACATACCAGGGAGCAAGTCAAGAAGGGGCCCAGGAGGCAGAAGGACCACACTGTCATACATGGAACCCCCTGCCTCTGCCTTCCAAGTGGAAAACGTGAGCTATCTGCAGGGCAGGAGGGTGAATTTTGAACCCTACAGATCACAAGTGATTCACAGGCTCGGGCTTACAAAGTCCAAGGAAATCCCAGCTCCTGCTGGGATCCACCTGCCACTGGATACGGTGCCATGCTTAAGTAGCACAAGCCCATGAAGTGAGTATCTTACCACAGGGCCTGACAGACAGAAGCAAAGTCCTAGCAGGGAGGAATAAGAGTCTGAAAGACAAAACTGAGCTATGAAGCTGTAAAAGAAGAGTAACCCCAGCAGCCTGCTGGGATCTGCGCTGGGACCTTGCGCCTTGACACACAGCTGTTATTTGGCACAAGGAGAGAGTAAGGAGGGGACATATTCTGCTCGTGATACCGAGATATTTCAGAGCTGCTTGTGACCCTGAGCCACTGGGGAAGAAAATGACAAGGCTGGAAAAAGCAATGCAAAGCATTTAGAAATAATTGCCCTCTAGACACAGTCCCCAGTGCACAGGCTCCAAATGAGCTATCCAAACTCAGGGCGAAGCTGGGCGCCACCAAAGTGATTCTCCACAAACACTTAGGGGCACAGTTGGACATTCCAGGGTGTCTATTTAAGGACAGGCAGGCTCTTACCATGGTCAATGGGATAGACCTTCAGCCCATCCAGCTCAAACAGCCGCCCCTTGATGGGGACGTAGCTGACGAAATGAAAAGCCTCCATGGTTCGCACAGCGCTGATACCGTTCTGCTTCTCCGGCAAGTGCCGCGGCTCCGGCCTGCGAGGGCAGGAGAGGGGAGAGGTCAGAGGAGAGCCTGCCTCCTCCAGTGAAGGTGAGCTGTGAGAGACCCAGAGACCCCCTCTGGGGTGAGCTGTGAGAGACCCAGAGACCCCCTCGCTCACCTGGCATGGCTGTTGTGGGCCTTGGCCAGCTCCGGGGCATTGCCGATGGCATAGCCTTTACTCTGCAGCGAGAGAGGAAAACAACTGAGAAGTGACAGGAAACCAACAAAATCCTTCACCCACTGGCTCCCCCCTCCCTCCATCCATACCCAGGACTGGGAGAGCAGCTTTCAGGCATGCCCTCTGCTCTGCAGAGCTTTAGGTAAAACCCAAGGTGAACAGAACACACAATTTCTGCTAAAGAAACTACAGTTAGAGAGAAACACAGATTTCAAGATAGATCTGAAAGTAGGAGACAGGACTTTTCGATCACAGAGAATGCATCTGGGCTAGGGAACAACACGACAGAAGGGCCAGAGCTGTGCCTGGTGTAAGAGGACCAAGGCTGTGAGCAAGGCAAGGTGGGAAGACAAGAGAGAAGAGGCAATACTGATCTAGTGTGCAGCCACAAAGGGCTGGACAGGAGTCAGCTCGTTAGAGCATCATCCTTCGAGGGGAGCGAGAGGCAGATTCAGAGGTGCCACCCTGCACACCCCCACCCCTACCTCCGGGCTGAATCCTTTGGTGAAATCCTTCATGCGGCTCAGCGTGGGGCCCAGGTCGACATTGTTGCAGTTGAGGAGGACGCTGAGCAGGGCATGGGTGGCACAGGAATTGGGGATCAGCTGGAGGGTGACACAAGGACCATCTTAACCAGCTGGAACAAGGCAACCCCTTCAACAACCCCTCAGGGTCAACAATAATCAACTGGAAAGTCCTGAGACAAGAACCACTTGTGAGAGCAGTGACTTGACCTCAGCTCTCAAAGGAAGGGAGGTCAGTCTTCTTTAGTGAGCCATGAGCATCAGCTCACAGCACAGGACAGGCTCACAGCCCTCACTGGATTCCCTCCAACCTGCAGTTCAGGGCAGAGACTCCCAGGGAATAGTAGCTGCCCTCAGGACCAGCAAGAGCAGTGCAGCCTCTCAGCACCACGTTGTTTCCCTGAGGTGTCACACAAGACACCCCCCGCCTCTTTCCCCTCGCCTCCAGCCTACCTGGTGAGCAAAGAACATGTTATTAACGATGTCATCGTCAATCACCGATGTCTCATCCACCAGGGTAGAGACCTTCCGGCGTGATCTACGCTCCTCAATCCACTTGAACAGGAAGATGAACCCATACACAGGGCTGCGGAGAGAAGTCAGCAGCTGCATTGTTTTGGACAGATCACACCAGTGGGGCTGCCCAGAAATCTTCTGATTCAAACCACAGGCAGAGCAAAGACAGAGAGGAAAAGCAGAACCACCAGCCCCAGCTTTCTGCAAGTGACCATCCCTGCCAACACTCCCCTCGGCCCCACATTACCAATGACACTCTCCTGCACTGATGCTCTGGGCTCAGACAACGGTCAAGCTTGAAAACTCTGGGGTTTGATAGATCTTAAGAGACTCAAGACAGAGAAATAGGCAGGTAAATTCAGCCCTGGACACTGACTGACCTGCAGAATAGTGCCTGACCACCAAATGACACCTCCTTCTAAACAGATGTTGTACTCATTTTGCAGAGGAGTTCAGACAATGGGTTTTAAAAAGCAACAGCCTCAAAGCTATTTCAGAGACAGGAGGAAAGCCCACACTGCACGCACACTGGCTGGCACTGCACCTCTCTGTGAGGAAAGGGAGATGAATCCCCTGCAGTGTGTCCCCCACCTGCCCCACCAGGTCTTTCTCAACACATGAGATTGCTCATCTACTCCAAACCT